GATTTTCTTTCACCATGATGTCCCCGTTCACCTAGCAGTAAATAGATGCCTGGGAGTTAGACAGCTGCTACGGGTTGCTTCCTGGGGGGTGTGTAACAAAAAGGAGGCCTGCTCGAGGACCGGGCCGCGGGGACAATAAGTACCGAAAACATCTCAAGATAACCGCCCTTGTGTACAGCTGCCCAAGACTCACAATAATGTCATGTTGTTGTCTTGCCTATATACTGGGTTTTTTGGAGCTTACAGTCCCCAAGAGGGCATTTGAAGGCATAGACGACGTTGGTCTCTTTTAAAGCGTTCTGTTTTGTGTCTGGAGAGTTTCTCATGAGTAGGCTGGCCGTTTTTCTGTATTTATAGTAAATCGTCAGTTGTATCCTCTGATTTTTATCTGTAGGGATAACGTTTCTATTAACAATATCTTTCAGGACCCTTTCCTCCGTTTTATGAGCTGTGGAAAAGAAAAAAACCCAGTATATAGGCAAGACAACAACATCTCTTTCTAGGCGTTTAACGATGCATAAGCAACAGGGCTCCATTAAGGAACATATAATCTCTTCCCACAACCAAACCATCGCCAGAGTAATCCTAGTAAACAACACAGAAATCATCGATAGATACAGCGATAGCAGACGGCTTGACGTTTGCGAGGCACTACACATTAAGAAGTCAACACCAGCAATCAACAGCCAATTAATGCACAACTATATTCTACCCACCTCAAGACTCCGCTCCAGTATAGAAGCATCAAGAAATATGGACCAATAGGCTTTCTACAATCACTTCCATTCAATACCCATTGTTTCGTGTTCTGTCTTGTGTTGATGAATTTAATACCCTATTAATACCACCTCACCCCATCCACCTCACTCAAATGTAGATATAAACAAATCGGAGATGTGTAAGTTCTATTCAGTTGTGTATGTGTAAACTAAAGTCTTTGAAAATGTAATAAGTTTTACGAAACGCGCTCAAGTGTCGCGTCAGACTAGAAATAAAAATGAATTTGGAGAATTGATTTTTGAATTACCACCAGCAGTGAAAAGAAATGTACGAAAGATTGAGAAAATTCGTGTTAGAATTATTAATGTTACTTTTTCGGTCATATTTAATAATAATAATAATAATATATATATATATATATATATATATATATATATATATATATATATATATATATATATATATATATATAATGTCGTACCTAGTAGCCAGAACGCACTTCTCGGCCTACCATGCAAGGCCCGATTTGCCTAATAAGCCAAGTTTTCATGAATTGTTTTTCGACTACCTAACCTACCTAACATAACCTAACTTTTTCCGCTACCTAACCCAACCTAACCTATAAAAATAGATTAGGTTAGGTTACGTAGGGTTGGTTAGGTTCGGTCATATATCTACGTTAATTTCAACTCCAATAAAAAAAATTGACCTCATACATAATGAAATGGGTAGCTTTATCATTTCATAAGAAAAAAATTAGAGAAAATATATTAATTGAGGAAAACTTGGCCTATTAGGCAAATCGGGCCTTGCATAGTAGGCTGAGAAGTGCGTTCTGGCTACTAGGTACGATATATATATATATATATATATATATATATATATATATATATATATATATATATATTATACACACATATATATATATATATATATATATATGTATATGTGTATATGTGTATGTACATATATATATATATATATATATATATATATATATATATATATATATATATTATACACATACATACACACAAACAAACATACACATACATTTATGTCTCTGGTACTCTGACAGGGTAAGATAGCTGATATAGAAACTAGTGTGTTATTAAACACTTAACCACTGAAGGTGATTAAGGTGCTTTTACAAGCTCAGGTTATACAGTTACATCACATACAATATATTGTATAATTGACACATTACACGGTGATGAGGTGTGACAGGGCCCCCCTTACCCCAGCCCCCACCCCTTCTCACACAGTGTGTCCACCCTACCCCATTACCCCTGCCCCCCTAACCCCAGCCCCCCCCCTCACACAGTGTGTTCTCACCCAAGCCCCCTCCCCCTCACCTCCTCCCCCCCCACCCAGCACCCTCTGGCTGTCTACTGGATCACCTTACTCGGCAATTAGCGGCTCCTAACGGCTGTGGTTCAAACAACCGATGCATAATTAACGAGGGTAATTTGCATACTGTGAGGGATATGTTTAATGGTTTAATAAACATCTCAGGTTAGATTTATATAATGTTTTCTTACTGGCAGGTGGTGAATGTTGTGTGTGTGTGTGTGTGTGTGTGTGTGTGTGTGTGTGTGTGTGTGTGTGTGTGTGTGTGTGTGTGTGTGTGTACTCGCCGAGATGGACTTGCTAGGTCAAGTGTAAGCTCCTGGACCCGCCTCTCTTCTTTCCTTCAGTGACTCAATTCACTCGTTTTTCCAATAATATTTATATCCTTTCTGACCTTTTTTTACGGCAGGTTTGTTTCTCCAGTTGCCATCTACGTGTTCTGGCTCTTCTGGTCCTCGCTGTCAACACTACTTCCCTGTCTGTGTCTATACCTGGTCAGGTGTCTTTGGAATCTTGTACGTCGTTATCATGTCTCCCCACTACCGCAGAGATTCTATTTACTTTCAATGGCTGATCCCGTTTTTTATCTCTCCCTCCTCGTTTATCTATCACCTCCCCCCCCCTTCTTCTCCCCCTCCTCTTCCCCCTCCCCCCCCTCCTCCCGCCTGGCTGTGTGCGCCTGCGCACTACAAACAGGTAACCCTCAGAGGAAGGCCCGTCCTCATCCCAGCCTGAGATAGCAGAACTCTCGAAATTCTCTACAGGTAAAATCCCCCCTCTCTCTTTCCCCTCTCCCCCACTCCCCCCACCGTACAGTCCCCCGTGTTCTGCCTTTACCATTCATCATTTTAATTAACGTGGCGCCAGGAAATTGACAACGAGGGATTTTTGTACGTTAGTGTTGTTTAGTCGAGGCCGCCGCCGCCAGGTGTCCCCCTCGACCCCCCCCCACCCCCGCCTGAGGGCTCCCGCCCCCCTTTGTGTCCTTCGTTGGCTTCCCCCTCAACCCCCCCCACCTCCCCCCCCCTACACAATGGTGTTGTTCAGGAGAGGAGAAGCACCGGAAGGCCCCCTTACACTTCCCCCCCCCCTCTACACCAAAACATCTCCCCGGGAGAGAAACCTCTCTCTCTCTCTCTCCCTCCCTCTCTCTCTCTCTCTCTCTCTCTCTCTCTCTCTCTCTCTCTCTCTCTCTCCCGTAGAGAGGGCGGCAGCTCACCATAGATGCAGCTCCACACCCCCGTAAGTAGCCCTTCCATTACCTCTCATGTTCTCTCTCCCCCCTCTTCCATCCCCTCCCAGACTTCTTCCAGTCTCCCTCCCCCCCCCCTCCCGTCCTTCAAGTTGTCCCAGACGCCCACCCCACACCCAGAGGCACGTTTGGTGTCTGCTCTATAAGAGTGCTCCTTTGTGTGTGTGTGTGTGTGTGTGTGTGTGTGTGTGTGTGTGTGTGTGTGTGTGTGTGTGTGTGTGTGTGGCTGAAGGGTCAAACTGTTAGTAGCTCTTCGAGCCCGCTTTTCTAACCGTCTCTCGTGTGATGTATTGACTGTCTCCCGCCCTGTTTGTCTCTCTACCATCTTCTACGACATATATTTATATTTATGTCACACACATTCCCAGGAAGCAGCCCGCGACGGCTCTTGCTTATCAAGCTTGTCTGGCGGTGCTGTGTTTACCACTACTGCATAGGCTGTCTGGCGCTGGGGTGACGGGTGACGGGTGTGGGGCAGTGTAGCCAGCGCTGGGGTGACGGGTGTGGGGTGTGGGGCAGTGTAGCCAGCGCTGGGGTGACGGGTGACGGGTGTGGGGCAGTGTAGCCAGCGCTGGGGTGACGGGTGAAGGGTGTGGGGGAGTTCCGCAGATGTTATGACTTTCAACAAGTTTGACAACGGAACTCCGTGGGGGGGGGGGGAGGGGGGATGAGGTGAAGAGTCTTGACGGGTTTGTGATGGTGGTACTGAGGTGTGGGGCCCAGATGAGGTGTTGTGGCCGTGTGGTTCCCGCATCTCTCCTCCTCATCTCTCCTCCTTTCTCCTTCTCCCTCTCTGTCTTCTCGACTCCTCGCGTAACGTGAAACGTGGTCGGCCACCACCACTACCACAACTGGTGGTGGTAGTGGTGGTGGTGGTGACGAGCACTGTTGGGTGGGTAGTGTTGGTGGTGGGAGGAGACCTCCACCACCTTATTGGTGGCGACGCCACCCCCCCCCCCTCCAGCGGACAGTTGCACTGACTGTCCCACCACCACCACCACCACCACCACTATTATCAACACCACCACTACTACCACCACCACCACCACTACCACTACCACCACCACCACCACCACTATTATCAACACCACCACCACCACCACCACCACCACTACCACTACCACCACCACCACCACCACCACCACCACTACCACTACCACTACCACCACCACCACCACCACCACCACCACCACCACCACCACCACTATTATCAACACCACCACCACCACCACCACTACCACTACTACCACCACCCATCACCCTCCTCTTCGTATTAACACATTTAGGATCATGTACATTTGCCCAGCTGTCCAGGGGCCAGGTTCACAAAGCAGTTACGCAAGTACTTACGAACCTGTACATCTTTTCTCAATCTTTGACGGCTTTGTTTCCAATTATTAAACAGTTAATGAGCTCCGAAGCACCAGGAGGCTGTTTATAACACTAACAACACTTGATTGACAAGTTTTCATGCTTGTAAACTGTTTAATAAATGTAACCAAAGCCGTCAAAGATTGAGGAAAGATGTACAGGTTCGTAAGTGCTTGCGTAAGTGCTTTCGTGAATCTGACCCCAGGACCTCATGACCCCGTTACTACCAGTGTGGTGGTCACGTGTGCTCGTCCCAGGATGGTCAGGCATACTGGGCCCGGTGTCAGTAGTCTGTACTGGCACTCACTGGCACACCTTGGCACACTCTGGCACACTCTGGCACACCTTGGCACACTCTGGCACACCCTGGCACACACTGACACACCTTGGCACACTCTGGCACACCCTGGCACACACTGACACACCTTGGCACACTCTGGCACACCCTGGCACACTCTGGCACACCCTGGCACACACTGACACACCTTGGCACATTCTGGCACACCCTGGCACACTCTGGCACACCTTGGCACACTCTGGCACACTCTGGCACACACTGACACACCTTGGCACACTCTGGCACACCCTGGCACACTCTGGCACACCTTGGCACACTCTGGCACACTCTGGCACACTCTGGCACACCTTGGCACACTCTGGCACACTCTGGCACACCGTGGAACAGAACCCGGCCTCTCAAAATATTCTATTCCTTTCAAGAAATAATGAGGAACAGACTCATCTTGAGTAGTTGGGCTGAGGTGGTTGTTACCTCTAAGCCTTAGGTGGTTTGTAAGCCAACTCACGAATGGTTCCCCTTGTCTCAACCACCTCTACAAGAGCAATAATTTAGTATTGTGTTGACTGCTAGCCTAATAATGAGGAGGGGGGGGGGTGCATTAGCATAAGCTCAGATTAATGAGGAATTTGCAGTTGAGTCAGAGTGATAACACAAACCCCAGTTCATGATAACAGAGCAATTGCCTCGGCCTGGGATTCAGTTCAAACCTGTTAGTAGTCGCTTTAAGGTTGAAATTCCAACCGGTAGGATGTAGCTTAGTTTAATGTGTGTTAATCAACTGGTTAAGTTGTGTGTGTTAATTAACTCATTAAGCTGTGAGTTAATTAACTCATTAAGTTGTGAGTTAATCAACTCATTAAGTTGTGAGTTAATCAACTCATTAAGTTGTGAGTTAATTAACTCATTAAGTTGTGAGTTAATCAACTCATTAAGATGTGAGTTAATCACCTCATTAAGTTGTGAGTTAATCAACTCATTAAGATGTGAGTTAATCAACTCATTAAGTTGAGTGTTAATCACCTCATTAAGTTGTGAGTTAATCAACTCATTAAGTTGTGAGTTAATCAACTCATTAAGATGTGAGTTAATCAACTCATTAAGTTGTGAGTTAATCAACTCATTAAGTTGTGAGTTAATCACCTCATTAAGTTGTGAGTTAATCAAATCATTAAGATGTGAGTTAATCACCTCATTAAGTTGTGAGTTAATCAACTCATTAAGATGTGAGTTAATCAACTGGTTAAATTGGTTCTGTCGTGTGAATATATTTCTCGTATATATTAACTAATTATCGCCCTTGTTCACTAGCGCATCAAGGGTTATTGTTGAGTGTATTTGGTCATTAATTATATTTAGTTATCATTTTCTGCACTGGAAGGTGAAGGAGGCTGACACTGGAGGCTGACACTGGAGGCTGACACTGGAGGCTGACACTTGGAGGCTGACACTTGGAGGCTGACACTTGGAGGCTGACACTGGAGGCTGACACTTGGAGGCTGACACTTGGAGGCTGACACTTGGAGGCTGGTACTGGAGGCTGACACTGGAGGCTGACACTGGAGGCTGACACTTGGAGGCTGACACTTGGAGGCTGGTACTGGAGGCTGACACTGGAGGCTGACACTGGAGGCTGACACTGGAGGCTGACACTGGAGGCTGACACTTGGAGGCTGACACTGGAGGCTGACACTTGGAGGCTGACACTTGGAGGCTGACACTGGAGGCTGACACTGGAGGCTGACACTGGAGGCTGGCACTTGGAGGCTGACACTGGAGGTTGACACTGGAGGCTGACACTTGGAGGCTGACACTTGGAGGCTGACACAGCAGCCTGACACAGGAGGCTGACACAGCAGCCTGACACAGCAGCCTGACACAGGAGGCTGACACTTGGAGGCTGACACAAAAACCTGACACAGGAGACTGACACAGGAGGCTGACACAGGAACCTGACACAGGAGGCTGACACAGGAACCTGACACAGGAACCTGACACAGGAGGCTGACACAGGAACCTGACACAGGAGGCTGACACAGGAACCTGACACAGGAGGCTGACACAGGAACCTGACACAGGAGGCTGACACAGGAACCTGACACAGGAGGCTGACACAGGAACCTGACACAGGAGGCTGACACAGGAACCTGACACAGGAGGCTAACACAGGAACCTGACACAGGAGGCTGACACAGGAACCTGACACAGGAGGCTGACACAGGAACCTGACACAGGAGGCTGACACAGGAACCTGACACAGGAGGCTGACACAGGAACCTGACACAGGAGGCTGACACAGGAACCTGACACAGGAGGCTGACACAGGAACCTGACACAGGAGGCTGACACAGGAACCTGACACAGGAGGCTGACACAGGAACCTGACACAGGAGGCTGACACAGGAACCTGACACAGGAGGCTGACACAGGAACCTGACACAGGAGGCTGACACAGGAACCTGACACAGGAGGCTGACACAGGAGCCTGACACAGGAGGCTGACACAGGAGGCTGACACAGGAGGCTGACACAGGAGGCTGACACAGGAGGCTGACACTGGAGCCTGACACTGGAGGCTGACACAGGAGGCTGACACTGGAGCCTGACACAGGAGGCTGACACAGGAGGCTGACACAGGAGGCTGACACAGGAGGCTGACACTGGAGCCTGACACAGGAGGCTGACACAGGAGGCTGACACAAGAACCTGACACTGGAGGCTGACACAAGAACCTGACACAGGAGGCTGACACAAGAACCTGACACTGGAGGCTGACACAAGAACCTGACACAGGAGCCTGACACAGGAGGCTGACACAGGAGGCTGACACTGGAGCCTGACACAGGAGGCTGACACAGGAGGCTGACACAGGAGGCTGACACAGGAGGCTGACACAGGAGGCTGACACAGGAGCCTGACACAGGAGCCTGACACAGGAGCCTGACACAGGAGCCTGACACAGGAGCCTGACACAGGAGCCTGACACAGGAGCCTGACACAGGAGCCTGACACTGGAGGCTGACACAGGAGGCTGACACAGGAGGCTGACACTGGAGCCTGACACTGGAGGCTGACACAGGAGCCTGACACAGGAGCCTGACACAGGAGCCTGACACAGGAGCCTGACACTGGAGGCTGACACAGGAGGCTGACACTGGAGCCTGACACAGGAGGCTGACACAGGAGGCTGACACTGGAGCCTGACACTGGAGGCTGACACAGGAGGCTGACACAGGAGGCTGACACTGGAGCCTGACACTGGAGGCTGACACAGGAGGCTGACACAGGAGCCTGACACAGGAGCCTGACACAGGAGCCTGACACAGGAGCCTGACACAGGAGCCTGACACAGGAGCCTGACACTGGAGGCTGACACAGGAGGCTGACACAGGAGCCTGACACAGGAACCTGACACAGGAGCCTGACACAGGAGCCTGACACAGGAGCCTGACACAGGAGCCTGACACTGGAGGCTGACACAGGAGGCTGACACAGGAGGCTGACACAGGAGGGTACAGACCACACCTCGGACCACTAAAGCAGAGCGCCCAACCTGCTCATAATTGCAGCTTGTCTCTTCATGGAAAATAAAAATATAGTATGTAGATTTGTTTAGCTGTTATCCTACAGCTGGCACCGGTGTTGGCGGTGATGGAGGCTGGTGGTGATGGTGGTGGTGATGGTGGTGATGGTGATGGTGGCTGGTGGTGATGGTGGTGGTGGTGATGGTGGTAGTGATGGTGGTGGTGATGGAGGCTGGTGGTGATGGTGGTGGTGGTGATGGTGGTGATGGTGGCTGGTGGTGATGGTGGCTGGTGGTGGTGGTGGCTGGCGGTGATGGTGATGGAGGCTGGTGGTGGTGGTGGTGATGGAGGCTGGTGGTGGTGGTGGTGATGGAGGCTGGTGGTGGTGGCTGGTGGTGGTGGTGGTGGTG